CAAAGAAAGCTGGTAGCGCGGATTCTGTAAAGAGTCCATTTTCAGTGCTTTTGTTTTCTTTTGTTTTTTTAATTAGATATATCGTAAGAAAAAAAAACAGAAATTATACTAAAGGGCACAAAGTAAATATATATTTATAAAAAATATCATTACTATTTTTTAATGTAGTTTTAGTTAGTGTGATTGTATAAATTTGTAATTTATGCTAATATTATATATAAAAATACATATTTTGTTTGTGCTATTCTTGTAATTCTCTAAAAAATAAATGTTGGAGTAAAAAAAAAGAAAAAAAAAGCATAAACCACATAATCATAAAAACATATAAATAATCCAGTTATGAAAATAAATCTCAAAGAGTCAAAATTCATCAGGTTGTAGCATGAGTATAAATATTAAATACAGTCATAGATTTTAAAATTACGTTCTCTCATTGTTTATCATTTTGGTTTAAATTAAAATTTATTAATTATTTTTATTATAATAATAATATTATTTAGACTAAGTTTAAATTTTTTGTTTGCAATAGGAAAATTTAACAATTTCTATATGATAACCGGAGACCAAAACAAAATTTTTGACACATAAAAAAGAAAACGATGTAAGTATGAGAAATATAATTTAAATATTCTATTAAAATTTAAGTTATCTAGATTGTGGTGTCAAAATAATACTTACATACAATTTTGAGTGAAGTTCAACATCAAATCCATCGCATTAATGTAGTAGGAAAAAAAAAACTCGCTTGCTCACGGTAATCTCATTTATTATTAGAATCAAAGTTAACTAAATTTTATTCAACTTTTTTCCTTCTAAATTTTAAGATAAATTTGTATCCTTAGGTTTTATAACATCTAAATTTGTAGACCTCAAACTTAAAATTCGAAAATTACTAATTTAATTTGTTTTGAGAGAGAGAATAGTTGAATATTATTTAAAATGGTTGGCGTGACAGCACAAAAGTTATTATTATTATTATTATTATTATTATTTTATGTTGTGAATATATTATTATAACGTGGGGGGAAGCATTTTATTAGTTTCTAGAATGTAAATAATAACATTAAGTTAAATATTAGATAGAGATTTGGTATTGGAGTTAGGTGACCTGACGCGTCTGCATATGCAAGCAGGACGGCGGCGTTTTGTCCATTTGAAGACGTTTTAATTATTTAATAATTATGTTTATTTATTATTTAATTATTTTGTCTCTTTTTTCCGGCAATTTGGAAAGATTGTTTTCACTTCATATCATTCTCCAACAATATTGGACTTCTAGACTCCAAATCTTTGTTTCTTCTCCCCTTTTTATTAATATTTTAAATATATAAAAAACTTTTAAGTAGTAAGGTGAATTATGAGAATAACAAAACTAACGTAAAATATCTCTTTTAAATCTATTCTCAATTTCTTATTTCATTTTTAATGTCAATGTAATTGCAAAATCAATTTAAAAAGTATATAAAAGTTCAGTAAATTTTACTTTATCAAAATTTACAAAAATATTAATAACTTTTTGAACATCGCGAGCAGAAATTCAAAGTTCTAATGTTTAGACTATGTTTAATAACCATTTTATTCTTAGTTTCTATGTGTTGCATATACTTTTAAAATATAAGCTAAAATTTTAAAACCAAAGAAAAATAGTTTTGAAAATTTTATTTTTATTTTTTCAATTTAATTAATAGTTCAAATTTGTTCCTGAAAAAGATTAAAACATGTTAAACAAATTATACACAAATAAGCATAATTAAAAAAAACTAAAATTGAAATAGTTATCAAGTATGATGAAAAGTAAAACTACGTTAAATTTTAGCAATTAAAAGTATGTTTAAAAAGTTTTAACTAATTTTTTTTCTAAATTATATCTGATTATTTTTATGTATTAAGAAATGAAATATAATGTATATAATGTACTATTTCTAGTTCGGTGACTTATAATTAGGTCAAAGATTTAACGTGAGAAATAAATAAATAAATTAACAAAACAGCTGCACGAGTATGACCTGTCGTCTTCCTAATTCCCAATAACAATACTCTATCGTTCATCAGCAATTGTGTCCAAAATCTGAATGTCTGCTTCATCATGGATTATAATTCATAAAATATTGTAACGAGTATACATAAAAATATATAAATATAATTCTAAGCTGTTGTTTTATTTTATTAATTAATTTTATCACATAGTGGTGGTGCTGTATTCTAAGGAAGGGTCTCACCCATTACTTTGCTATATTTTAATTGTAATATTTATTTTATCTTTAAAATATTAAGAAAATTAAGGAAAATTTTCAATTTTAACCTTACGTTTTCCAAGTGGCAGACAATTTTTATAGATATTTGTTACAAAG